AGTGACTTCAGCAGCAGCGTCTCCTGGGATGTTTCCCCAAACTCCCTGGGAGGGGATGGAGCCTGTTAAAGGACTAATAATAGACAGGCACATGCAGTTTTCCAAACACGTCACCGTAAAAAGTGAAGCTATTTTCCCCTCACTACCTTTGAGTTACGTGGGATGGGACAATCTCCAATGACAGGCTGTGCCCTCCACATGCCACCTAGTAATGACTCAGCAGCTTCCAGGCAAAATTGTCACCATGGGACCTGAGCTTCCTTAGGCAGAAAGAAGTTCAGTGTTGCTGGTTCAGCTTCACCCTGTCTTCTTTCATCATTAGTCACCAGTATGACTTGTAGATGGGCCATCCTACACACCATCAACATCAGCGTGACTTAGAGTGTGAATCTTGATCACTCTGAGCCTCCCTGTCCTTGTCCATAATGAGTTAGAAGACTATAAAGGCTATTGGGAGGACTACATAAGACAGTGCAAATACCTAGCACCGATCTAGCCCCTGATGCTTATCATTACTAAATACTTACTGGATATGAGTGGGGGTAAGGGGTACTCTCCTTCAATTTTTCATTGGCCATTTGTTTATACAGTGACTCACTCAGTCAATCAATATATATTGAGCTTTTAGGAGATGTCAGGCACTGAACTTGGTGCTGGGTGACACAATGGTGAGCAGCGCCTATTCCAGAGCCCTGACCTAGTTCATAATCTCATGTGGTGTTACCTTCCCAGACTGTGGGGCACAGAGGGGATCTTTATTTTAATTAATTAGTTAGTTAGTTATTTAGTTAATTAATTTTACTGATTTCAGAGAGAAAGGGAGAGGGAGAGAGAGAGACAGAAACATCAATGATGAAAGAGAATCATTGATTGGCTGCCTCCTGCATGACCTACACTGGGGATCAAGCCCACAACCCAGACATGTGCCCCAATCAGGAATCCAACCATGACCTCCTGGTTCATAAGTCAAAGCTTAACCATTGAGCCACAATGGCCAGGCAGTGTGGGATCTTTAGATGCAGTACAGGGACAGGGCACTAAGCACACTGCATCACTCATCTAGACACTTATTATTGTTTTGGTTACCTCCCATCCTCCCATCCAGGAGAGTCCCAGCTGGATGCTGGCGTGTCTTTAACATCCCTTTAACTTTACTTGTCCATCTCCTTTCTCAACAAATAAAAGAAGGCCTATCATTGATAGGCTGCCTCCTGCACACCCCCTACTGGAAATTGAGTCCACAACCTGGGCAAATACACTGACCAGGAATCGAACCATAACCTCCTGGTTCATGGGTTGTTGCTCAACCACTGAGCCACACTGGCTGGGCCTTTCATTATATTTATTCAACATAGTATTGAAAGGTCCTTGCCATAGCAATCAGACAAGAAGAAGAAATAAAAGGCATCTAAAATGGAACAGAAGAAGTAAAATAGTCCTATTTGCAGATGACATGATACTGTATAAAGAGAAACTTAAAGATTTTACAAAAAGCCTAGGAAAACTGATAAATGGATTTAGAAAAGTGGCAGATTACAAAATTAATAGCCAGAAATCAGTTGCATTTTATACACCAATAATGAACTATCAGAACTAGAAGCTAAGAAAACAATCCAATTTACATTTGCTTTAAAAAAATACTTAGAGCCCTGTTAGAGTATTGGCCCGCACACCAAAAGGTCTTGGGGTCAAGGGCATATACTTGGGTTGCAGGTTTGATCCCCAGCCAGTCAGGGTGTGTGTGGGAGGCAACCAGTTGATGTGTCTCTCTCTCACATCAATATATATATATATCCCATTCTCTCTCTCTTTCCCACTCTCCCTAAAAATCAATGGGAAAAAATATTCTCAGGTGAGGATTAACAAAAAAATAAAAACAAAAACAATACCTAGAAATAAATTTAACCAAGGATGTAAAAGACCTAACTTGGAAAATTATAAGACACTGAAGAAAGAAACTAAAGAAGGAAACTGAAGAAGATACAAATAAATGGAAACATATACCATGTTCATGGATAGGAAGAATTAACATCATTAAGATATACAAAGTACCGAAAGCAACCAATAGATTCAATGTAATTCCTATTAGGATATCAAAAGTGTATTTCACAGAACTAGAACAAATATTCCAAACATTTGTTTGGAACCACAAAGGACTCCAAATAGCCACAGCAATCTTTAGAAAGAAGAACAAAGTTGAAGTAATCATACTATCGGAACTCATACTATACTATAAGGCCATAGTATTCAAAACAGCATGATACTGGCATAAAAACATACATATAGATCAATGGAACAGAATAGGTGCAGGGGCCTGATGTGGTGAGGGCCAGATATGGCGGGGATCTCCGTTTTCCTCATCCCGCACAGAAAGAGAGATGAACAAACCAATTCTAAGTGGAGGCGGCCAGGGATTGAGAAATAATAGAAATGAAGAGAAAAGACACAGAGATAGATTTAAAGCTGGGAGCTGGGTGGGTCACCATCTTGTCTGCTGCAGAGGCAGGAAGACGACAAACCCCTCCCAGCGCATTTATTTTATGCCCCCAAGACTAGGAAGTAGTACCAACTTATTTGCATTCTTAAGTAGGCCTTAGCATGCCTGGATTTACATATCTAGTCCCACCCCTGCCGACACCTGGGCTGATATGAAGGTCAAGCTGACAACATGTCTCCCATCTTGGGAAAACATGTTCCCAAGGCGTGGCTCTGCCTACACCCTGAGTTCAGCTGATGATAATTCAAGAAAATTGTCCATGTGCCTTCTCCGGTGGCCTTCTACAAATAGGGAGCCCAGAAATAAATTCACACTTTATAGTGAATTAATACTTGACAAAGGAGATAAAAACATACAATGAGATAAAAATAGCCTATTCAATAAATGGTGTTGGGAAAATTGGACAGATACGTGCAAAAGAATGAAACTAGACCATCTTCTTCACCATACAGAAAAGTAAACTAAAAATGGATCTAAGATTTAAATGCTAGACTCAAAACCATTAAAATTCTAGAAGAAAGCATAGGCAGTAAAATCTTGGACATTTCTCATGGTAATATTTTTTCCTCCTGATATATCTCCTTGAGCAAGGCAAACAAACAAAAAAATAAATGGAACTACACCAAACTAAAAAGTCTTTGCACAGCAAAGGAAACCATCAACACAATGAAAGACAACCCTCTGAATGGGAGAACATATTTGCCAATACATAGGGCTTAATATCCAAAATTTATAAGGAACTTATACAGCTCAACACAAAAACCCCCCCCCAAACAATTCAATTAAATACCGGCAGAGGACTGGAAAAGATATTTCTCCAAAGAGGGCATATAGATGGTCAATGGACATATGAAAAGATGCTGAATGTCACTGATCATCAGAAAAATGCAAATTAAAACCAAGATGAGATATCACCTGTCAGAATGGCTATCATCAATAAGTGAACAAACAAGTATTGCCCAGGATGTGAGGTAAGGAAACCCTCATGCGCTGCTGGTGGGAATGCAGACTGGTGCAGCCACTGTGGAAAGTAGCAGGAGTTACCTCAAGGAAGTTAAAAATGGAGCCGCTTTATGACCCAGCAATTCCACTTCTGGGAATATATCCAAATAAACCTGAAACACCAATTCAAAAGAATATGCACCCCTATGTTCATTGCAGTGTTATTACAATAGCCAAGATCTGGAAGCAGCCCAAGTGCCCATCAGCAGATGAGTGGCTAAAAAAGCAGCGGTGCATTTACACAATGGAATACAACTTGGCCAGAAAAAAGAAGGAACTCTTACCTTTTGTGACAGCGTGGATGGACCATTATGGTAAGTGAAATAAGCCAGTCAGGGAAAGACAAGTACCATAAGATCTCACTTATATGTGAAATTTAATAAACAAAATAAACTACCAAATAACGTGGACACAGACACATGGATACAGAGAACAGACTGGCAGCTGTCAGAGGGGAGGGGTCTGGGGACTGGGTGAGAAAGGTGAAGGGATTAAGAAAAAAAAAAAGACTCATGGACACAGATAACAGTATGGTGATTGACAGGACAGGGAGGGTGGGGAGGATGAGGAGGGTAAAGGGGGATAAATGGTGATGGAAGGAGACTTGACTTGGGGTGGTGAGCACACAATACCATATACGAGGATGTGTTGTAGAATTGTACATCTGAAATCTGTATAATTTTATTAACAAATTAATAAAATTTCAATAAAAAATAAATCTCCCTCCTCCGTTAGTCCATTTTACAATAGAGGAAGTTGGGTCTCTCTGTGGAGCGGATGGACAGAAGGTAGGAAGTTCTCTTAATTTGCTGGGTAAGTAAAGCCAAGAATTCTCTTTGTGGTGGAGTTAGATATATATAACCTAGCGCTGTCTCCTCCCCTACTTCTGCAGCATGTGTGTCTAAGGGTGTGGAGCCACAGGCCTTCCCGAATGTGTGGCCGCGGGAACTCATCCCTCCAGGACACACTTGCAGAATGACCAGCGGGATGGATGGGGCGTGGGGGGTGGGTGAGGACCAGTCTCTGTAGAGGTCTGGGCGGAATCCATGGAGCCCACCCTCCCACCCCCAATGCCAGCCCCCGTTGGCCCTTCCGCTCTCTCTGCTCCCGCGTAGCGCCCTCAGTGACATCTCCTTCACGCCACCCAGGGCCACGGGCGAGTTCGGGGCGAGGCTGGGTCGCGGTCCCCGCGCTGCAGACTGCGGCTCCGCCAGCTTCCCCGGAGGCCGCCGCCGCGGGTGCGATATGTAAAGCAGCGGGAGGGCGGGGCCTGCGCGATGCAAACGAGGGGGCGTGCCGGCCCGGGCCCCGCCCCGCCGCCCGCAGCTGGGACCGCGGAGCCGGCGCAGCTGGCCGCGCGCAGCTGGCAGTGACAGCGCACCGAGCGGCCGCCGAGCGCCCAGGAAGCGCCGGCCCGCACCGCGGCCGCCTCCCCGCGCCCGGCCGCAGCCCGCGCCCCGCGCCCCGCGCCCCTCGCGGGCTCCCGCGCCCCGCGCGCAAGATGGCTGACCCGGCTGCGGGGCCGCCGCCGGCCGAGGGCGAGGAGAGCACCGTGCGCTTCGCCCGCAAAGGCGCCCTCCGGCAGAAGAACGTGCACGAGGTGAAGAACCACAAATTCACCGCCCGCTTCTTCAAGCAGCCCACCTTCTGCAGCCACTGCACCGACTTCATCTGGTGAGCGCGGCACCCTCCGCCCGAGGGCAGGGGCTCCTCCGTGCCCCGGGGACCCGCCGCCCGCGGCCCCGCGGCCCGGCGCCCCTCTCCCCCCTCCGGCCCGGACCCCCGGCCGCCGTCTGCCGGGCCCCGGGGGCCAGCACCCGGCGCCTCCGGAGCGCCCGGGCCGCGCCGAGCGGGGGTCTGTCCCTCCTGGAGTGCCCTCGCGCCCTGGGCCCCACCTCGTCACCTCCTTCCGGGCTCCGGGGGCCCGCACCCTACCCCTCCTTTCCGGGGGCAGCGCCCTGTGTCCTCTCCTTTCCCTTAGGCTCGGGCATCCTTTCCTCCCGGCGCCTCCGGGGACTGCACCCGGGGCTCTCTCCTCGCGCCTCTCCGAGGGCCTGGGTTCCCCTTTCCACTCCCGCTATTTCCACCTTCTCCCCCCCGCCCCCCACCAAGCCGAGGCCCCTGATCCCCTGCCCTTCTAGGCCCGAGGAGCCCCTCTCCCTTCCCAGTCCCCGGGGCACCGCTCCCCGGGGCTCTCAGCCTGGTCCCACTGCGTCCTCATCTCTTCTTCCCCCGGGGAACTTGGGCATCTCTGTGGGCACATCCCCCCCCCCCCAGACCTCCCTCCCGGAAACGCCACCCGGTGGGTGGTCGCAGCAGCCTGTCTTCTGCCTCCTGAGGGGAGGTGGGGACACCTCCGAGCTCCTCGCTCCCCCGCCCTCTCTCCCTCAAAGGCGGAAGACTCTGGGGCACTGGCCTGTGGCTGGGAGTTTGCACCTGGGGTAGAGGGGGGGGGGGAGGGGAGAAAGGGGTGACTGAGGGGAACTAGCTGCCGGTGGCTGGGCCCTCCAGCTTCCTGACTGCCTCCTTCTGCCTTTGCAGGGGCTTCGGGAAGCAAGGATTCCAGTGCCAAGGTAGGCTGTGTGCTCCGGGATGCCTTTTTTTGGGAGATATGGTGAAAGGACACTCGAGAAGTGACTGAATTAGGCAGAGAGTGGAGGGATCACTGTCTCAGAGCCTGGCATCCATCACCAAGGGGTCCTTTTAAGAGGCGCATGCATATGGGGCGGTGATGCGCCTTCAGGACGGGGCGCGGAGATGGAGGCCTCACCTGCCTAGGAGTGCACCCCTCTCTCCCTCCCCAGCAGCAAACTAAATGTCTCCCCTGCTGGTCAGTCCCGCTGCTGGAGGACCCTCCCCTCAACCCTGCCCACCCGTGCTGCCTCTGCTCCCAGAGTGAGGTTAGGTGATGGCGGAGTGGTCTCCTGGGCCTCCGGAAGGAGGTGGTCCCCGGGGGGTGCCTCTCAGATCTTGGTTTCAGTCGCCCCTTCCCTAGGCATTCTGGTGAGATTGGGAGGGCTATGTGCCTGGGTCCTCGCATCTGGTGTGACATCCTTGACTCAAGCCAGGGAGGCCCAGCTCCTCAGCTCTGATAATCGTGGGCATGTGGCCTCAGTGGTCGCAGGTCGCAGATTCGCTCCCTGGGCCGCTTCACCTAGACATGTCCAGACCTTAGGCTGTCAACCATGCTTTGAATTTGATGCCAGCATTTTAGAGCTGGGCGAGTGCACATACATCTCTGAGTTCCCACCTTCCAGTGTGCGGAGACTTGGCCCCGCCCTCTGGTCGGAACAGGCGTTTGGAGGGAGGGGCTCTCTGCACTGCACCGTTGTCTGCGCCATCCCCTCCTGGCGTGCTTCACCCGTTCCCGGCCTCCGCAAGCATTTGCGTGGTAACTTCCAGCTTGGATAGGTTGGCGGAATTTGGCGAGAAGAACGCATTGAGGCGTTAAAGAGCAGGGCATGGACGTGGCCCCGATTGACAGAGTGTCGGATGGCCTCCACCTCCCGGGAGCAGGAAGTGGCCCCTGTGAGTGCTGGTGGCATTGTCAGCTGCACAGAATGCTGGCAGCACGGCACTGCTGTCCTCTGAGCCTCCTGTGTCCCTTCCCCTGTGATCCGGGCAGGGCTCACAAACCCCCCCACGCCGCCCCGCCCTGTCCCCCGCCAGGCTCTCTTACAAGACGGTGACCCCCAGTTTCATGGACTGCCCTGGAGGACCTCACAAGGCCCAACAACAGGCACTGCTGCCAACAGCTGGGCTGTGTTCTAGAACTTTGGCCCCTCAAGCAAAACACCTACGGCGGTGCCGGAACGCATAGATCTTCACTTCCACGAGTCGGCCTCTGTCTTTGTCTCCTGCCGAGGGCCCGGGGACTGGAGCGTTCGCCTCTGCGATCCTGCCCTGGTGGCTGCAAAGAGCAGGATGTGCAGGTGATGACTCACCTGCCGCAGGAGACGATGGCAGGAACCTTCTCGTGTGGCGAGGGTGGAGCGGGATTAAAGGTTCTAATGAAATAGGGCTGCTTCCCAGCAGGAGTGCCTTCTGTTCCATGGCCTTCCGTTTTCTCTTCTCCTTGAGAGGCTTTGTAGGGTAGTGGGCATATGCACAGGGTATCGGGCAGGTCGCTGTGAGCTTGAATCCCTGCCACGTTCTGTAGCTTTTCTGGACCTCCAGTTCTTCATCTAAAAAATGGGTCCAATAACAGGATCGACCCTAAAATGTTGCTGAGTGGCTCAAAGCGGTTGCAGGCAGCTCCTGAAACTGAGATGCTCGGTGCGGGGTACTCCGGTAGGGTGGAAGCTCTCCTCCGCTCTGCTGCGTTACCCAGGACTAATTTGGGCACCATAAAGCAGTTCCTTATGTGGGTAGTTTTGGTGCCACCTATTTCCTCTTAAAGCGAATCGAATCTATAGAAAGTCACGTGACCACTCTCACCTCGAAGTCAGGCGTCCAGAGCCCAGGGCCCGATGCTCCTTTCAGTTTCTGCTCCACCGTCCCAGGAGCGACAGAGAGCTCGTGGTCCAAGAAGGATGCTAGACTGTGCAGTCAGCTCATCCTTTCTTATCCGCAGGAAGGAAAGGGTAAAGAACGGCGCTGTTACTGTGGAAGTTGCCACAGATACTTCTGCCTCTGCTTTTAGTGAGATCTTAATGGCACACCCGCGCCGGGCTGCGAAGGAGGTGTGTTAATTCCAAGGACAGTGTTCCCTGCTACAGGTAAAGGTGTGTGCCTGAGCGAGGCGCTCCATTTCAAAGCAGAAGGGAGAGAGGACACAGCTCTACCATTCTTGCCTAGGAGGTGTGTAGGTGATCACACGGCAAGGAAGCCACTGAGCCTCCATGGCCCCCTGTGCCGAGATGGAAACGGGGGATGCTGGGATGGTGCGGGGAGCGTAAGATGAGGTTCTCTTGTTTTGTGCTGCTGGGGGACAGAACTCTAGACTGGCTGCCTCATAAGCTCTCCCTTGGTGTCCCCTCTCTGTTTCCAGTTGAAGAGGTAGGGTTAGGATGTCTCTGGTGGCAGGGGACTGGGGCTCAGAGTCCTTATTATGAAACTGCTTCCATTCTGGCTTAGCAGCGGGACCCTCAGGCAAGCAGCACAGAGCTCTCTGTGGCTTCTTTAGGGGCGCCGGGAAGCTGCCTCTGCTTTAATGGCAACGAAGACCAGCCTTTGGGTGGAATTAGGCTCTTCCCCCAAGAAGGTTTTGCACTTTAGTGGAGAGTTTATTTTTTTAAGGAAGTCACTTCAGTAGGAATAGGAAGGCAATAAAATGCAGAGATTCGGAATTTGTAGCATGGGGTTGGAGTGAGATTGCTGGGCTGGCGCTCTGCTGTGCCACCTCCTCGCTGGGTGACCCTGGGGAAGCCATCCACGTGTAGGGCCTCCCTTCTCACGGGTGACAGAGTCCAGGGATGCCCACCTACCGGTGCTGGTGAGGAGTGCTGAGGGGTGCGAGAGCAATGTTCACACGGAGGCCCGTGACTGGGTGAGAGGCTCATTATTACTCCATTAGCTGCGAAAACCGAGGGACACGGTCATCCTGGAACTCGCTAGATGGCTATGCCTCCTTCGTGTATGTAGATGGGCTTTCTTCTCTGTCTGTGTCTCCACAGGCTCTGGGTGACACAGGGAGTGCACAGCTCAGGCCCACACAGCCAGGCTTGTAAAGAGCATCTTTTCTCACCCCTGCCCTTGTGAGAAAGATCTAAACTTGCCGTGGACTCTATAGAAAAACCCCGTGCACTAATTTTATGACTGTGAAGACACTGGTGATTATAATGAGTAAGCCAGTTCTTCCCTTTCCTGTGTAGACAAGAAAACATGTTTTTAAGCATTCTAGTGGAAATTATTCTTCAAAAACCCCAATGTATTGCACGAACCCAACCATTGCTATTTCATCAGCAGCTCTATAGATACAAGTTCATTTTTGTCTGTAGTTAACACATACTGATTAGAGTATGCATTTTTAGAAAAACACCCATCAAAGATGAATCAAAAGGTTCATTTTTACTTTTGGCATCATTTTTTCCCTATGGACTTGTAATATGATATTCTGCATGTCAGGTTGAATTTTCTCAGCACAGTCATAAAGAGAGTGTGGTGGGGTGTGTGCTTGTGTGTGCGCGCGTGCATGTGCGTGTGCGTGTGTGCAACCACCGCATCGGGTTTCAAGCTGCTGGAGCTTGCTTCAGTCATGCCACCTCTCTCCCTCCCACGGCAGAGCCCAGGCCTGTGCGTGGAGCTCCGCTCACCTTTGGGCTCACTCTCCGTGTCCTGGGGGATCTGTGGATGAAAAACTGTCTGATGGTTTGACTTTCTGATTTTTCCCACCTAGAGTGGGATTTCAGACCCAAAGCCTGAAGTGAAATAAAAATCTGTAGGTGGTTGCTGTTGGGACTTACAAAGGCGGCCGGCTTGTGAGAAGGCAGCAGTTAATTCATTCTGAGCTGAGAGCACGCAGGGAAGCCTGCAGCTTTGTCACTGGGCAACAGCTGTCCTTCCTCAGTAAATATGGAAAATGTGACCTTTGAAAATCTAGTTGCTGTAACATGTTTCTTCGAAAGTTAATTAAAAACCATGTTTCTGAGGACAGATGATACTCTAGGTGCTGCCCAGAGCCCATCTACAGCGTTGATGATGTATATGGGTCAACAGAGGTAAAGATACAGAGAAGGTAGTTGGCCAAAAGACAAACTGGAGGCTTGAAAATAACTTTGTATTGCACATTCTTGCTGTTGGGGTCTCTTTCTCTCCTCTCTGCCTGTCCTTCTGTATCCATCTCTGTCACTCCCCCATTCCTGCCACATGTGCGCACGTGCTGGGCACACACACAAATAGATCAATGGTGTCACAGTTTTGACAATATTCACCTTCTTTGGATGCTTTTTAGTTACAGGTTGTTAAATTGCTAAATATAATTTAAAATCCATTCTCTGTGTTTATTTTCCTGCAGTCCAGTGAATTTTGAGATCAGTAGGAAGATCAGCTGAAAAGCTCATCATGGCTGGCTGATGCATTCAAAAGCTTTGTCCCTTACCATTTTGCCATTTGATGGCAAAATATCATGGATTATTTGACTTCAGGCATCCAATCTATCCACTGAGATTGTGTGATATTCCATAGACTGGCTGTTGGGCTTTTTATAGAGTATGTAAATTTCAGTGTTTACATATGGCATTCAGAGGTGTGATGGCTACTTGAAAATCTGATGGAAATTTATATATTTACCACATGTAGCTATTTTTTTCTTCTTCCCTCCTTACCTCCCTCCCTTCCTAAAAGCATTCATTCATTAGGTTCTATGTGTCAAGTACTATTTTAATGGTGGCAATACAATGGTGAGTGACGTCCTTATTGCCATGGAGCTCACAGTGTATTGGGGAGATAAGATCCTGCACTGATACCCATTTCCCTTTGTTAAGGACTCTGAAAGACATGTACAGGATGCTATGGGGCGCCAGCCTCTGTAATGGTTGGGGTGGAGTCAGGGAGTTCTTTGGTCTGAGAATTAAAAACAAAACCACACCTCCCGGTCTCTGAGGTGTCCGGACCAAGGCTGAGCTGTGAAGGA